AAGTGATAATGAAATTTTAAGTACAAATTTCTATTAGGCATTTGAGTTAGTTTTGTAAATTCTCGATTTAATGAGAATACTAAAATGAGAGAACAATAAAAACCTCCTTAGCTCACTCAACTATTGGTTTCTTTTCTAAGGTAGGTTGGTTTATGAAAGATCTATATTGATGTCATAAAAAGAAGAGTAAATTACTTTAAATATCATGTTGTTGGATGATAGAAATACTTTGCACTCTCATTTCTTAAAAATTACACTTTATATTCTAAAATTTTTACGATAAAATTTTAGGCAAGTATGAAATGATAACAATACCCTCATATATATAAAGTAACACCCCACATGTCAGCTAAGCATAATCAACCCTATCTCTCACTCTCTCTCTTTCGTCTATCTCGCTTCGAAGAGAGAGAAACCTAGAAATTTAGAAAGTAAACTGTTTGAACATAAACAGATTTCTTGTGTGTTCTTGTTGATTAAATATTTGTGTGACTCTTTAAAATCGAATTGAAGATGAATCGAGAACGATTCGCAATTTAAACGAGGTATGTTTTAGCGTCAACTTATGTTTTTTTTTAAACACAAATGTACTTAATCCATAAAATATTAGGATTAACATTATATTTATCTAATTATGAGCAAAACTCATAAAGATTTTGAGTATTTTGAAGGTTTTGTTAACTTTGTTTTGGAAAAAAAAAAACCAATTTTTTTGATTTTTAATTTTTTATTCAAAATTTATTGTGTATCCTTCAATTGATTGTTTGGAGCAAATCTATTAAAAAATTGGGATTATTCTGAAGCCACGTAGTTCTTGCACTTTAGAAGGCTGCAGAAGCCTATCTTCTTGGCTTGTTTAAGGATGCTAATCACAGTACTATCAATCCGAAGAAGGTCTCCATCATGCCTAAAGATATCCAACTTGCCAGGAGAAGTAATGGTGAAAGATCCTAAAGGTGTTTCTTGCAATTTAGGTATTGATTATTTGTTTATGTTGTCGTTCATGTGTTTTTTCGTTTAGATACTGATGTGTAAAGGCTTGAGTGGTTGGACTGGTAACTAAAATATTTCTTTTATTTTAAAGGAAAATTGGGGTGATAGACCACGTTATTCAATACAACAGAAAAAGACTTGATGGCGACACCGACACTCTTAATCATTTAAGATTGTGAATTTGTAATTGATAACACATTGAAGCACTGTTGGTTGCTCAAAATCTCGACAATCAGATAAACTTTCATGTCCTTGAATTATGATTCAAGGTAGTAGTTTGTGTTTGATTAAAACTTTGATGTGTATTTTCTTGTTATTTTTGAAAGCATATGGTCAGTTCATTTTATGTTATTATTAAAGTTAATTGCTGAAACAGAGTTGTTTATGGGATCTGATACAAAGTTGTATAGTATAGCTTCTTTGCAGTATTTTTAGCTCAATGTGTCATAACATTTGAAAAAGGCTTTCTAAGAAACTCTATAAGAAAAGAATGTAGATGATCTAAATCATGGTTCTTTGAATATATTTGACATTATTTATGAACAATTACATACAAGTGACAATTATATTTGGGCTTTTATATCATTCCATTTGAAATGAAAAGAAATCCTTTAACCTTTGAATCATTGATGCAACTTATTTGAAATGACAAGTTTAAGAGTACGAGAGAGAGAGTATCTAGAATCAGGGATACATGTGATATATGAAATGAAAGAGTTATACTCAAATGATCTAGAAGATATGAGTAAGCGATAAATTGTGGAACCAAATGTGAATGTCAGAGAAACATGAATTAAGCTGACTTGGGTAGCTGATGGTGCTGGCTAAGGTGGGAGCCTTTGAAGTAAACAAAAAATAAAAAAATAAAAAAATTGGGCTGGGCTTCTCCATTTTAGTCTTAAATGATCAGTCTGACTTGCATACTTTACGAGCATAAACATAATGTTCTTCAAAATGATGAATTACTTACATAATGCTTTGTAGTTATATGATACTTTCTTTATGTTTTCTTCTTCTACGGGGCATAAGTCTGTAGAAGTGCCAAATGGTAAGCTGCTTAGAAAGTTTTGGAGTTGGGAATTTTGTAAGTTAATTGGTGTAGTTTACTAATTGCTTAGAAAAGAGAAGTTGATGAATCTCTATTGACCTTATTGCCGCATGTTTTTGAATTCTTCAGTGCCTCTTTAACCTGTCATGTTAGTTCATTACAAAACCTATTGAACCATAAATAGAAGGCGAAGAACTTTAAAATTTTATCTTCTATTTGAAGCGTAGAGACAAAAATACAAAGTGCTTTAGTATTTTCAGTAGCTATGTTTTTTGTTCTATAGTTTAGTTGTTGAGTTCTATAAAAAAAAATTTGTTTGTATTGATGAAACTATACCAGTTATTTATTACCATATAACATTCCAGCTGAATACCAAATTAAAATACAGTGTTTTTTAAATGCTTCCAAAAAGCATTCTACCCATTATCAAAATGTAATGACAAACTTATAATAATTTGAATGTGTTTCTTTTTTTTGCCGTAAAAAATTTGAGATTGAAAACAGAGTTAAAGTAGAGAGTATTTTTAAAATAAAATTTCAATATATAAGACATAAAGTGTAGTTTATGAAAAATAGGGGTACGGATTATTTTTGCTAACAAACTAGAAGGTGTTTAAAGTAATTTATTTCATGAAAAATAATAATAATAAAAAACACACACATATATGTGTGTAGAAAAACAAATACGAGAGATGGCAAAAATATGAAAGTAAGTTTCATATGGCTTAATTACTAGTTGGAAATCTGATGAATATCCATTCGTATGAGGCCACATGGATGAGAAAGAAGAAAGATGTTTAGTAAAACATTTTCTATTACGTCATAGAAAAATTAGATTTTCTCCGCATTTGAAACATCTACTTTTCATTTTTTTTTAATTAAGACACTAGTCTTTTTTACTTGATTGAGACTATTTACTTTTCGAGATTTTTTATTTTAAACCTTATATTATAGCACTATCAATCAATAATCAACATGGGATATTATAAAATAAGAAATCTAAAAAAGTAGAGGTGACATGTTAATCAATGATTGATGGCGTTATAACGGAGGATACGAAGCAAAAAAATCTCGAAGAATTGAGGGTCTCAATAAAAAAATTGAGAGTATGAAATAATAAATTTTAAAAAGTAAAAAAATTTAATTAAGCTTAAAAAAAAAAAGTAGATGGTCTCAAAAAAAAAAAAAAAAAATGATGAGGGTTTCTTCAAGCAAACTTTGTTTATTAAGATTTAAACTCATGCAAAAAATTATTTTCTTACAATCGTTCCATATATAAAACTCCAACACGAATTAATAAAAGAAGAAACAAAATCACTTGTCAATCAAATTAAATATTTTAAGTTTCTTCTCACATTCTCTCGACGGAAGAAGTAATATATCTCGATGGATATACAATATTCTTCAATTTGTTATGCAGATATTAGATCACGAATATAAGAAAGGCATTTTGGGCTTGAGGACAACTCGGTAATTAAATTTGAGTAAATTATAAATTAGTTCTTCTATTTTTTAGAAATGAATCAAAAGGCCAATCTCTTTTATAGAGGTATCCAAGTCAAACTTTTTTGTATATCTCTAACATTTAAGCAAAATAATAGCAAATAAGAAAAACCGATCTTCCATATTTTTAAAGAGTTTTTAAATTACAATCAATCTCATATTATCTAAAAAACTAAAATACCTCTTTTTTATTTGTTTAGTGTTAAAATTATCTCAAAAACTATTTGAGTTGAAACTAAGAGTTGAGCTTACCTTTTCTTCTCTTTCTCACATGTAAACACTAAGTGATATTTGAGAATAATAAATATTATGATTGGACATGCTAACAAAAGGATATTGATTTTCTCTCCTTAGCTTAAAAATCGATGTATAGAATAATTAACTTGAAGGAGTTAAAACAAAATGGAATGCAAGTTTAAAAAAAATATAGAGATTGGTTTCAACTCGGATGATTCTTTGTATAATTTTAACATTAAATAGGTTGTTAGAGACTAGTATAAATTATATTCTAGGGCCTCATCTATCGACTTAAGCTTTTAGGTGAGATGGTTCTTTAATATAGGTAAAGAGGAATATTTTAGTTTTTTAGATAATATGAAATTGATTGTAATTAAAAAAACTTTTAAAAAATATGGGCATCAATTATCTTTTTTTGCTATTATTTTGTTTAGATGTTTGCCATAAACAAGAAAATTTGATGTTGACACTTTTTTATTGACCAAGTGTTTAAAAGAAAGTGTTGATAACACTCTTAATGAATTAATTAGTTCTCGTTGTTTTAAAAGTTAATTATTTAGTTTCTTAATTAGTGTTGATTATTATTTTGAATTTAATATTATTTTATTTAAAAAATATTATCTTTTCTCATCAATTCTTCAATTTTTTTAACTTATTTTTTTTATTTTTTAAAACAAAAAATTGAAAAAGAAATTGAAAAGATTAAGCTACAAGAAAATTTAAAAGAATGGAGACTAAATAATGAGTTTTTGAAATAGAAAGGACTAATTAATTCATTTTTTTGAAACTGAAAGACTAATTTATAACTTACTCAATTAGATTTTACCTCAATTTGGCAGCGGAAAAAAGAAAAAAGAAAACAAAGAAAATTATCTCAACTTCTATAGCTGAAGAAAAGAAAGAAAAAAATTCGATTAATTAACTTCCTTTTTAAACTACTTAATAGCATCGGATATACAAAGAAAAACAAAGTAGAAAAAGAACGTAAATATAAGCAATCCATTATTTTTAACCTTATCACATGTTAAATTAAGCGAATAATAATAATAATAAATTAACTAACTAATTAAATCCCCAAAAACATAGGATCGTTGACCATAATCGAAGGCACCTAACTCTATCTATCCCCTACCACAAACCATATCTAACAAAACTAACGTCAATCTCTCCCAGTTTCTCTGATGGCAATCTCCCCTTTCTGGTACTTCAAAGTACATTCATGGGGGAGCCATTGCCTCGAGGCAGCTCTGCCTCCTTAAATGACTGGCCTGAAACACCTAAAGCGCCAAACCCACCACCTTTACCGCCATTTCCCACAACATCACGCCAACAGTTATCTCTTGTCCAACCATCCGAAAGAAGGAAACACAAACCCAAGGTTTTTCGTGTCTTACGCTCGGTTTTTCGAACCTTCCCCATTATAACCCCAGCATGCAAGATTCCAGTCCTATCTGGCGGACTACCGGACGGTAATCGGGGAGTTTCGGGAAGTAGAGTTACAGGAACTTTATTTGGGTATCGTAAAGGTAGGGTAAGCTTGTCCGTGCAAGAAAACTCTAGGTGCCTCCCTTCATTAGTTGTTGAGCTATCCATGCAAACCCAAGTGTTACAGAAAGAAATGGCCACAGGAATGTTAAGGATTGCCCTAGAATGTGAAAAGAGACCGGATAAAGATAAGACTAGGGTGTTAGATGAACCACTGTGGACAATGTTTTGCAATGGCAGAAAATGTGGCTATGGGGTTAAAAGAGATGCCTCGGAGGAGGATTTGAATGTCATGGAGCTTCTCAAGGCAGTATCAATGGGGGCTGGGGTCCTGCCAGGGAATTCTAACGTCGAGGGCCCAGATGGCGAGCTGGCCTACATGAGAGCCCATTTTGAACGTGTTGTGGGCTCGAAGGATTCTGAGACATTATACATGATAAGCCCAGAAGGTAATACTGGGCCTGAACTTAGTATATTCTTCGTGAGGGTTTGACTAAGATTAAGCCCCCCTGTGATGTACCCAGGTGGTGATATATATATATATATATAGACAAAGATGGTGAGAGGTTGTCAGAAAAGGTGTCAATAGTTTTGTGCAATGGTGGAATCCATAAGAGGGTCACGTACTGTACTGAAATGGGTTTTTCTTTCTCTCTTTATTTATTTATTCATGCAATGATATTATGTTGTTTATGTAAGCAATGGCTTGTGAAATATTCCTTGCTTCTAGCAAGTTTTTCTTTTTTATCTTTTAGTCTGTACAAATGTAAAAGTCTCTTCAAGGAAAAAGACTACAACCTCTGATAACGCCTTATAGCAATTGCCATAATGTTCTACTCTGTTTTGTGCTCATTCGCCTCTTTGTTATGCATGTGTTTGTTGGATCATACTGAAAGCTAATCGTGCAATCTTTTATTTCATTGTGTTTTTTTTTTTCTTTTTATTAGAAAAGGAACTCATCTCAAGCGTTTTTTTCTTATGAAGACTCAGAATTTATGTAATGGGCAAAGGGCCTGATATTTTTGCGTAGGTTTAGTGCTCTTCTTCTTAGACATTCTTTGGTATTGCTATTGGTGTTTCTAAAAATGTTTTTTTTGTAATTGATGTTTTTTCCTCGATAAATTTGTATGGTTTTGATAAGAGGATGTAAAAACTATTAGAAAACACCAAATTGATATTTCTTTAGATGAAAAGCACTTTAGAAGGGGAAAAAAACAAAACACTTCTAACTAAGCTACCAAACATACACTCAATCCTTTTCTTGATGCCACGCGAATCTTATCATGTTAGCTCGGCTGAGAAGGAGAGTACTTCTTACATGCTGACAGTGATTGTGAATAATGTAATAGCTCATCCTCCAATTTTGTAATAAGTAGCAATCGAGTACTAGGAACCTTCCAGCCAAAAACAATGAATTGGTATGCAATAAAATAAATTATTAATTAAAATATAAACCAAAGCACATGGTATGGTGCTGCATCATCCATTGACTCTTCTAGGGACTGCAGCAAGTGTCCAGGCATAAGCTACATACAGAAAGCTCATACGGGTCGTATTTGACTGCTTTGCCGACTGCTGAAACCAAGAAAGTGTTTGTAATGGAGAAACTTGCACAAGATCTGAAGAAAGGCTTCCTCGATCTATTCGAAGCTATCAGAGGTAGCAGAACTTCTCAAGGTAAATCCATCATCTAATATTGATGAATTAAAAATAGTAATTAATACTTCACTGTCATGGTCAATGTTATTAATTCAGTAAGTCCCATTTCTTCTCTGTTTTCAGGAAATGAAAATGTGGAAGAAGCCAAGTCAGAATCTGTGGAGGTCTATTTTTTTCTCCCATATCCTTTTTCACTTGAAATCATCTCATCCGTCACTAGGTACTGCATGCTATCTGAGGGTATTGAATTACAGGCGTTTTATTGTTCATCTGCAGGAAGTAACTGTACAAGAAAGAGGCATCAAAGTTGCCAGGGGTCCAACACGTCCAGGTGTGCCCAAAGGTCAACCCCCTAAGAATGCTTGAAGATTAATTCATAGGCCTTGAACTCACTCATGATTTCTGCTCTGCTTTTTTATTCCCCCCCCCCCCCCTCTCTCTCTCTCTCTCTAAAAAATAATCTCTTTGGGGTTACTTTTGTAATCGACCATCCATGTTCACTTCTATTTGATTTGGTGAGATTCATCTTCTCCTCTTTAGTACTGCTATGTTTACAAGTTTGATCTTGGATATTTTACTTTCTAAATTCATTCCAAGTGTTATGGTTGGGTTTTTTTAATCCTGAGTTTTTCTCTGTTTTTCATCTTTTGTATTTCCTTTTCTCAAAAGCTAAAAGCAGACAGCAACCTCATGATAAGATAGGCTACTGCTTTTTAACATAACGTCTTGAGAATATGTTTCGTTAATTAATAACATAAGAAAATTTCTTTCTTTTCGAATAATCGAAATCTAAAATGGGTTTTGCCAACATATGTTTCCTAGATTTTTCGAATCATTTTGATTGAAATACTTTATTTATTTATTTATTTATTATTATTATTATTATGTTGATGGACTCTTTCTATTTTTCTTTTTCTTTTTTTTTTATTTTTTTATTTTTTTATTTTTGGTTATAATGTTGTTAGTTCGTAAATTGATGTAGTATGTTCATTCCTGAATATATTACACTTGACATATACGAGACTCTAATAGAAAGATGCAATCAAAATAATTTTAAAAAAATATAAAAACTAAATTATTTTTTGTTTATATATATATATATATATATATATATTTTTTTATAAAAAAAACTTCATTTTGAATGTTGCAAAATGTATCATATGTGAGATCTCATCACAATAAAACTGTAAAGAATACTTAAAAAAAATATGATAATTAAAAAATAATAAAGTACATACAAAACGAACATAATATATAATTAAAAAAAATAGAGTATAAATATATTGATCAAAATTAAAATGAAAACAAAATCATACCCACTAGTAGCTAATTATTTATGTCGTTACCTAATATTCAAGAAACTTCCAAAAAAATGTGAAAAATTATTTATTTTTTGTTTATTTTAGGAAACAAGAGTTAAAAAATGTTTCGGAATCGTCATCCAAGTAGTACAAGAAACAACGAAATCTAAAAAGAACACTAGATCTATATATGATGGGTAAGGATTTAGTTATGCATTTGGAAAGATATCGATTATCCAAAAGTACTTATTTTGAAGAAAACGTATTGTGTCCGGATTGATGATAAAAATATATCTCCTAAGAATTTATTTTACCAAATTATTTCCTAAAATTATTTTCAAGTTTGTCTATTGTCTAAATCATTTTTTTTTTTTTTTACTATGGCATCTTATTAAATTAGCGTTAGACCTTGAAGTCGGGAGTCTCGTCAATTTAACATTAGATCCAAGTAAGTCTTAACATGATCGACATGTCGAGAAATGAATTAATTACTAATGATATTTGACTTGTATTTACTTTAATTGATTTTTTTCTTTTGGTTTTGTTTGTTTTCTTTATCGAAGTATCAAAACTAGTGTTCGTCTCTATTAAATAGAAGACTCGTTAAGTCAACTCGAATTGCCTAATTATCCTAAAATCGCATATTTGTTTTTAACATGATGAATTTGATGAAGGATCGTCATTGGTCTTTAGAATCCGGGAGGCTTGACGATCATTGATCACATTAACTAAACAATAAATATATTACATTAAAAATTACAAAAAAATAAATTACAAATAAATACCAAATATATTAAAAAAATTATAAAAATTAATATACATACCAAGTATCAACATAGGCGTAAACCCTCAAAATTTTAGATTAAAATAACCAAAGGTATTGAGCATAAAAATTAAATTCTAAAGCCAATCACATTAATAATTAAAATGGTTGTCAAATGATAAATAAGTTTTAAATAAATAGAAAATGAAATTATAAAATTGCAAAAATTAAAATACAAGAGATGAATAAACATATGTACAAACCCTAGAAGTTGCATATTAAAATAATAAAGGATATTCTAATTAAAAATCAACTACCGAAATAAAATGCATTAATAAATAACATAAATGGTAGAATAATTATAAATATTAAATAAATAGAAAATAAACTCATAAAATTATGAAAATTGACTCAAAATCTATATACGGACATATAAACATACCCTAAAAATTTCAGATTCATCGAAGTTTTAAAGTGGGACAAATAATTCATTTCCACAAATAATCTACACTAATAATTAAAATGAGGCAAAATAATAATTAAATAGAAAATAAATAGTAAATGGGCTTCTAGAAAATTAAAACATATGCCAAGAACTAACATATGAACAAAGTATAAAAAAATCAAATTATAATAAAATAAAAAAATGCGTTAAATAATTAAAGGCATAAAAATACTAAACCGATAAAAAAGGGGTAGAATATTAAATAAATTCAAAATAAATAAAAAATAAGCACTTGAAATTATGAAACTTGAACGAGATGCTGAATACTAAGACATGAACAATCTCTAGAAATCTCATATTAGGACAAGGTTAAACATTGACTTAAATAATTAAGTTCCAAAAATAAGCAACAATAACAAATTAAAAATAAAGTAGAATATTAAATAAATACCAAATAAATAGTAAATAGGTTTAAAACTTATGAAACTTAACAAACAACTCATGGACAATCATACGTACAAGTCCTAAAAATCTTAAACCAAAATACTTAATGTATGACTATGAAAATGAGTGAAGAATGAAACTAAACCTAAGATCAAAACTTTGTTTGTTTGTTTGTTTTTTTTTTTTTTGAAACAAGGTTGGTACCCTAACAATTTATTAATAATAAATCTTAAAAAAAAAAAAAAAACACAAGGGGAGACAATCCGACCTAACCTAAACATGCTTGGGGGGACAAAGGATGCCTTATCCTTAAAAGCAGGATGACATCTTGTGATTACATAGCCATATCCTATCTTGCCTACTAGCCACTTTAATAACAAGTGGTAACCGAGAATAACCTCTATAGGTACTCATAGTCTTTTGCTCGACAAGCGTCATTAGCCAATCTATCCGTCATCATGTTCCGTTCCCTCCAAATATGTGTAACCCGATGGTCGCTCATTATCTCCCGACATTCATGAAATGAATATGTGTATACCCATGGGACCTTATTTATGCCTAATGCCTAATACTCGTATTAACCACTAGTATAAAATTTGATTCAATGATGACTCGAATCTAAATCTAAGTCTTTACGGAAAAGTAATGCATCACGAAAAGCTAAAATTTCAACCTTTGAATTCTTACCCTCTCTATAAAAAGTAGCAACACCTACGGTATACACCTTTGCCTCATCCCGTAAACACCTCCCCATGCACAAAAGCCTTCACTTGCCGACCCATCCATATTCAATTTCAACTTACCCGTTAGGGTCGGTTCCCACTTAAGCCATTTTCCTCTCCCGAATTTTGATTGAACTAAAACAAAACCAAGCTCCCGCATTTTCCTTAAGCCGAAATATTCATAGGTTTTTTGTGACGATATAAGATACACATATCATCTAAATCAATTTTAACTCTTCGAATAATGTCGGTCGGATTCATCGGTTCATCCTCATATTTGGCCATGCATATGCTTTTTCATAATTCCTATAAAACAAAATAGAAACCTACTTGGCATATACCGATTGCGTATTGATTGAGGTATACCGTGTCTTCACATAGACCTCCATGGAAACCAAACAATGTCGAAAGCCAAATTTTTTTTCCAAAATATGCCCAAACCTCGAAGCAATCTGTGACTCTAAAAATAAGTGGGCTAAGGTCTTCTCCTTATGATCCAAACAGCATAAACATATTGAGGCACCGGGGATATGAAGTTCCTTTATATTTGAATCAACTAGTAAAACACCTTGAAACCACTTCCAAATGAATATCGACACCTTTTTTGATATGTAAACATTCCATATCCTCTTAGCGCAAGGCCACTTAGGTGAAGGACTTCGACAATGGTTCCAAAAAGCCTTTATTTTGAAAACACCTATTTTGGTCAACATACAAATCAACTCTGTCATAAATTAAATCATTAAAAGGGAGATGCATCACCTCATTATGATACATAGGAGGAATAAAAGGTTTGAAATTTGGTAATACTCGAAAAGCCTATCTTATAGTAAGTTTATCATCTATAGGTCACGAGGACTCCAAAGGGGTACCACACCAATTAACATTCCAAAATAGGGTAGATCCTTTGCCTATTATCCGTTGACTAACAATGATTAAACTCAAGCAATCTGTGTGACCATAGCTTTCTAAATATGAAAAGACATCCTTGAAATATTACCTCATCACCATATTTTGGATGTAAGAATCGCATCTAAAGACTTGATCCCTAAAGATAAGACTAAGCTAATTTTGCCTATAGGATCGATATTACCTATCCTAAACTCCTTATGCCTAAACCCCCTTCCTATTTTGGCATGCAAACTCGACTTCAAGATATCCATTGATGTCTATTATCCCTTAACAACCTCTAAAGAAAATTGGCCATCCGACTCTTAATCCTTTGTAAAGTTTCTTTAGGCACTCGGTATTGCTTGTAAGCATATGTATAGGGATACTACAAATTACCGACTAGAGTAGGGTGAGTCATAACCAAATGATAGCAATCTCGTCTTCCATCCACTTATTGTCATCTTGATTTTTAGTTTTAAAGGCAAGAAATACATTTGATGCAATCTTCCAACAAACAAAGGCACCCTTAAATATCGCATTGGAAATTGAAAATGTTTGCACCCTATCCACTCGTTTAATAGTCTGCTATTCTCTAAGCTATCATCTTTTTAGGTGTATAAAAACCACTTTTAGCCATATTTAACACTTGTCTCGAATATTCTTCATATTATTTGATCAAGCCCTTCAAATGCATCAATGATTTTTTTGATCCATTAATGAAAAGCAATATATCATATGCATAGAAAAGATGTGAAATTGACAAAACACCCCAACCTAGGACATATGGTCAAATGTACCCC